GGGGGGGGCGCCGGGGGGGCTCCCCGCCAGCCTGGGCTTGGGGCCAGAGGGCGGGGTCCCCCGGGGAGCGGCGCCCCTGGTACCCCCCGCCCCCGCGGGTCGGCGTTCCTGGTGTCTGGGCCTGCCTCCCGAGACTGGTGACGCCTCCTCGGGCCGCCTCTGCTCCCTCCCCGGCCTGTGCGGGTACTTGGACGCACTAGTTGGGAAGTTGGAATTCAGAGCGGATCCCATTGGAGCCGACCGGGGAGCCCCCGGTCCTAGTGTGGAGGGTTCGTCCCCAGTGCTTGCTGGGAGTGGGGGCCTCGTGGGGCGCGCCCTCCCCTCGCCGGTCTCCTGCAGGGAAAAGTCGGAGGGAGGGAGGGAGCAGGGGAGCGACAGCAAGGCGGAGAGACTCGCTGTACCTGCGAGCCGCTCGGGCCCCATTAGCGTGGGGCGCCCGCCCGGCGTTATTTTTGCACTGTAGGTTTGTTTTTTTGGAAGCGAGTGTCCCCCCGCCGCCTGGCGCGCTCCGGCTCTCCGAGGGTCTGGTGCAGGCAGCGGGGGCGGATCTGTTCTGTCGGCTCAGCCTCCTCCCTTCCTCCCCCTTCTCCTCCCCCCTATTGGTGAGAACTGGTTTTATTATGATTATTATTTTTTTTTTCCTTTTTGCAGATTTGGAGGAAGGATGTGTGAGGGAGGAAAGAAGGAAGGGAGGAGGGGGAGGGAGCAGATCCCTGTGGGCTGGGCGGGGGAGTTCTGGGCTTATCTGTGGCCTTGACTTCGTCCTTTTAAAACCAGATCTGGGTCCCGGCTGCTTTGATTTAAGGGGCTACCCTGAGGGTGTCTCAGGGCCCTGCTGTGTCCACCCTGGGTGGTCCTTCTGGGAGGGGTGGAGAAGGGGGCCGAGGAGGCCGGGCCAAGAGGGGGACTGGGTTAGACTGGCCTTCCAGCAGCTGGACTAGAGTCGCCACCCCCCATGGCAGGCTGACACAGATGGCTGGCCTCTCTGCAGAGTGAGGGTCCTCCCTGGGGTGCACTCGGACTGCTTTTAGTTGGCGTTATTCCTGGGTTTGAACTTGGACTTTCACCTGTGAAAAGGGCAGGGCAGCTTCCCTTTGCCTGCAGGAGTGGGGGGATCCAGTGATGGGGGGGCTTGTTTGCACCCAACGTGGTTTCCAGGGAGGAGAGGCCAGCTGCCCTCAACCCACTGAGCAGATGCGGAGACTGAGTCCCACGCACTGTGCGGGGCCCCACTGGGCCTGGAGCTGGCTGGGTGCAGCAGGAGCGGCTGCCAGGGCCTCCCAGGCCCCGTCTGGCTGTCCTTGCTTGGAAATTTACCCTGCCGCTACCACCCGGTTGCTCTGCCCCGGGAAGTCTGTGCCAGTGCCCAGACATGGGGGTGGGGTGCCCGGCTGGCCTGGCCTCTTCCCACTGAGCTATTTACGCCCGCTGGGGCTGGCTTGGGATCTGATCGATACTATTGATAAATCCATGTAAATGGTAATGGGCTGTCAGGCCCCGGTGAGGGATGGAGACCCCTCGTGGGGTGTGTGTCCCCCCCCCTCGCGTGCAGTTTGGCTACGTGGAGAGGATTTATTTGGCATAATCCGATCTTTTCCCCCAATTAATAATACTCGTGCAACCTCCTAAAGATTTCCCAGCGCCCTGCAAACACAAATTCAGCTGCAGGGAAGCCTGAGCTGGGAAGGCTGGCTCGTTCTCCCCTGCGCCGGAGGGGCGGTGGCAAGGCTGACACCCACCCGCTGGCGCTGGCAGGCTGCCCAGGAGGCCCCGCCGGCGCCTGGCTTGGCCTGGCCTCGCCCGCCCTGCAGGCTGGATATAGAGGCTGCCTGGCCTGGTCTCCCCTGCCTGTGAGGGGCCATGGAGTCCCTGTCTGTACTCCCACCCCGCTGGGAGCCTGTGGGTGGGGAAGGTGGTGCTTCACTCTAGATGCGGTGGCACCTCTGCGCACCCCAGCCCAGTGGTTGAGGGGGGTGCTCACCCCTTCCTTTCTACAGCTCACAGCTCCCTGAACCAAAGCCCCCACATCAGATGCCACCTCTGACAGCGGGGGCTGAGAGCTTTCATTTGTGTTTTCTCCTCATCTGTTTCCTTTTCGAGTCTCCAGCGCCAAACAGCTGCCTCCCCAGGTGACATCCCCAGGCTCAGCTCCCTGCTAAGGGTGCAGCTTGCTGGGGCGGGGGAGGGAGGGGAACCATTGGCTGCTCAGGGCCAGGCCAAGCCTGTCCCCTACGTGGGTGTGTGTGGTCCCCCGGGAAGGGATGTTTAGAAGAGGCCAGCAGGCCGTCCTTAGGGGAATCTGGGAGGCAGGAGCCTGGGGAACTGACCTCACACAGTGTGTCAGGTGGAGGCCAGGGCTGCTACTGGAGCTGGAGGTTACCATCCACCTCCATAATGCAACAACAGTAACAACAGTAACCCCTGCTCGGCCCCTGCTGCAGGCCCCTGCTGTAGGCTGCTGGGCTCACCACTGTCCCTTCAGAGCCATGCTAGGAGTTGGCACTATTACCATCTAATTTATGGATGGTGAAATTGAGGCACAGAAAGGTCAAGTGACTTGCCTACGGCCACGCTGGTTGGCTGAGGCCCTCAGAATTCAGGCCCTGGAGTACTGAGGGCATGTTGGTGCAGGAATTTCCTGCAGGCCTGCTTTGCAGAGCTGCTTGGGCTGCAGGGCTGCAGGAGCTGGCTAAGGACACTGTGTTTCCTCGTCTTTGCCCCAGGAGGCAGGAGGTGGGGCTGGTCCTCTCCTGGACTGGGGGGTTGGTGTGGGGCAGTGCCAGCAGCAGGCTTGGCATTTCTTTGAAGTCTCATTTTATCTTAAACATTTATGCAGATTGGGCGTTCGCCTTGGCGACATGGCTGTTTATTTTGAAATGAAAACATGGTTTTGAATTATTTAGCATGGCGTGTGATGGGGCTGCAGGAGTCTGCCGGGTTGACATTGTGGCCTGGCCTGGCCGCTGGCCGCCAGCGAAGCCCTGGGGTACTTCGTAACAGTAACTGGAGATTCTGCTGAGCCCCAGTGGGCCTGGGGCTGATGGCGGCTCTATTCCCATTTTACGAGGAGGGAGAGAGACCCGCCTAGCCTGAGGTCATGGGGGCGGGACTTGTGTGCGGACTGAGGCCATGGATCTGTCATCCTCACTGTCTTCATCATTCCCATTTTGGAGCAGGGAGGCTTCCAACCTGGCCACTTCCACACCCACCTCACCCAGGAGAGCAGCAGCACCCTCTAGAAGGTTCCTTCGGGTCAAAGGTCTGGAAAGAACCATCCCAACAAGTGGTGGAGATCAGTCTGGAGGGTCTCATCTGACCCCAGGCGGGCGCTGACTTAGCAATGCAAGTTCAAGTCCCAGCCCAGCCATTCCTGAGCAGTGTGCCCATGTTGGTGCCCACCCCTCTTAGAGTTTGG